TCAGAGCCCTTCCCTGGGATTTAGACATAAGGCTCTGGGAGGGAGACACTTTCCGGGTTCCCTGGGGCCACCATCTGGGATGATGGATGCCTGGAGCTGCTGCAGACCTGCCTCCCTCCTGCTGCTAACACGCAGTAGGACCTCACTCCTCAGCGTGGGATTGCACAGGCGGAGTCAGCATCACCTGAATGGTTGACAGGAATACAGAATTCCAGGTCCCACTTGGGACTCCTGAACCAAAATCTGAAAATCTGCATTTTAAGGAATCCCCATGGGATGGTTCATACTGGAGCCTGAAAAGCATCCAGTAGGAGAGCATGAGGCTGGCGCATGCTCTGACCATTCCATAGCACATCCAGGATGCTTCCCGAGACCCTCAGAGTACTCCAGTGACGGAAGCACCTGCAGCCAGGTGAAGGCAGATCTGCCATAGGCAGTAGCCCCAGGACAGGCACAGGGCTGGGGACCCTGCTGGGCAGTAAGGAGAGGCTCTGCTGACCATTACTAGGCAAGGAGTAAGATGTTCATCTTGCATTGGTCAATCCTGATCACATCCTAAACCCCTTTGCCCAACCAGCCCCTCCTTCCGTCCTGGGTGTGGAGCAGGCAGGTCTCTGCTTCTCCTTCCCATCAACTGGGTTTATAAACCCACATCATCCCCAGCTGAGTCACTTCAGAGAGTCTCAGCTCTTTACTTTCTGTGAGGTCTAAGACTTCACAGGGCCCTCAGAGACCCCCACCCCAATGCAAAGGGCAGGGAAAGGCAGAGTCTAAGAGGTCTGCACGTTCCCTTGGCTGAGAAGCACCTGCCCTTAGCAGGTGGTGCAGAGGGTGGTGCAGCTGTTTGCTGTCTTGTTTGCAGAGTCTGCAGCAGACTGCACAAGGGCAGCCCAGTGCCCAGACCCTGGTCTGCCCTTATTAGGGTCATCACCTTGGCCAAGTTGCTGTAACCCCTGTGCCCCACTTCCTCACCTGAGGGCAGCAGGGGGAGGGAGGCCCACTTTGACATGGAAGCGCAGCAGCAGGTTGGAGGGGGCTGTGCATACTCACTGTGCCCGGCTCAAAGTGGAAGCTGATGAGCAGCAGAATCTGGGCTACCAGGACAGTGAAGGACAGGTTGGCGTGGATGTGGTAGCGCTGGTTCCTGATGGTGCTGACGGAGCTGAGGACAGAGAGGTGGGTGTGAAGCCTGGGGCCCAGCGCCAGCTCAGACTTGACTACTCAGTCCCCCAGGCTGGGCTGTCTGTCCCCACCGGGTCCCCCATATCCACTCCTCCAAGTGCAGCCAGAGAGGTCTTTACAAAACCCAACCTGGATGCTGTCATTCCCTGCTTTGGACCCTCAATGGCTCCCAATTACTCTTGGATATGATCTCAGCTCCTTCCACAGCCTGCATGGTCCTGCTCGCCTGACACCTGCTGCAGCTGGTACTCAGATCTTTCCTTTCCCTCTTGCTCACTACGCCATTTTCTGTTTCTCAACACCCCCTCCCCTCAGCTCCCTCCAGCCTCAGGGCCTGTGCAGCAGCTGTTCCTCTGTGGGAAGCCCTCTCCCCAGGTCTCTGCATGGCAGCTCAGATTCCTCCCCTTGTGGCGTCTTCCTGACTGCCTGCCGCGAAGTAGCTCCGTCTCCTCACTGTCTCTCCTACTGCCTCGTGGTAGGCTCACTGTGCCAAAACGTCTGTTCATGCTTTTGCTTACTTGGTTATTGTCCAGCCCCCACCCAACTATGTTCTCATCTGTCTCAGGCACAGCCTCTGAGTTGACCACGTGCCTGGGTGCAGTGGGCTAGCTGAGGAACAGGGGAATCACCGAATGTCTGGGCATAGGGCTGAGGTGCACCTGTCTGCTCTTGCCTGGCTCAGACCCCACCAGAGTTCCTCATGTGTTTGAGTTGGGGCCTTTCCAGACCTTTCCAGCTTAGCTGAAGCCTGGTGCTCCCAACTCCCCAGTCCCTCCTCTCTTTCCTAAGCTGGCCAGCAGCCTCAAAATGAAAGATAACTGAGGAAGAGCCATCCAGCTGTAACACATGACATGTAGAATCTGAACAGGACGGGCATTTACCACCACTGGGCTACAAACACTGGAAGGAGAGTCGGGCTAGGGCAGGCATGACATTGACATTTACATGCAGCTGCCAAACCTCCTGGGACATGGGGAGAGCAGAGGGTGACTCACGACAGCACAGCGAAGGTGACCAGTGTGGCAGCCAGACAGAGCACAGACAGGGAGCAGCCGATGTAGCTGATGGACGACAGTGCCACCTGGTGCCCATGTGTGAGCTGTGGGGAGAGAAGCAGAGGCATTAGGAGCTCCGCCATGAATGGTGGTGGTGACCACCAAGTCCTGCCTCCTGCCCCACACATCTGTCACTATCACCAACAAAGAGCCAGTCCTGTGGTGGCAGCCCTTGATTGTGTGCAGCTCAGATGCTCTAGGTTGCTGTACTGATCACTCCACTCCTCCAGCCATCCCCTCACCTGCTACTGCCTAACCTGGCCACACACCACTCCCACCCATCCGTGCACACACATGGCTGCAGAGGCAGCGGCCTTGTGTTTGAGGAACAACCTGGGCCCAGGAACAGACCGCCAGGTTCAAGTCCCAGCTCTGCTGCATCTGAGCTGACGACCTGGGACAGGTAGCTCACTTGGCTGTGAAACGAAAATAATAACCATGCTCACCTCACGAGGCCACCACGAGGAGTCAGTGAATTCACATATATAAAGTGCTCAGAGAGTGCTGGTCACACCACGTGCTGGGGAAGAGTCTGCTAGTAGCCTTGTTTTAAGTCGGTCCCCAGCATGAGCATGGTAGCCCTTGTGGGACAGCTTCTGGGTGCACATCTGCCTACCCCCAGCACACTTCCTAAATGGATGCACTGCTGATCACCTGCACCATGTCTGTTATGTCCTAACACCTTTTGGAAATCAGGCAGAGCATAACAAATGTGGTGAATTAGGTGGATGCAAAGGCACGAAGGGGGGAAGCCGGAGCTGCAGCTCACCCGGCAGCACAACCCGAAGCGGTGGCTCCCTCGGCTCCCACTGCTGAGCTTTCAAGGTCAGACACGTTTGATCCTGGGCTCCAAGAGGCTCCAGGTGCCACACGCTCTCAGACCTGCTGTCAGGGGCTGTGGCTGTGGCTGTGTCAGGGGCCTGAAGCCCAAGGCCTGCATCTCAGATGCCCACGTCCCGCACCAGAGACCACAGACCAAACTCGGATCTCTACCTACAGACTGCCATCTGTGACGTGGGGAGGGGGCTCCAAACATCTCCTCCTGACCTCTGAGCCATAGCCAAGAACAGAATACACACTCTAAGGTATGTAAAGTGCTGTTGGCAACGGCAATGGAAATGCAGCCGGCCCACGAGACCCCAACTACAGGGGAGGAGGCCAGGCAACGGCACGGACCATGGGGAGCACTGTGGGGGCCAGCAGGATTGTGCCTGAGCACCGACCACTTAATGGGTTTTACTGCCTTTATATGTGGGTTTCACAGCTGAGTTAACTCACTCCCAAGAAGCTGCAAAACACTTTAAACACCTGACTGAGTTGAGTAGGGGTGGGGGTGGCCTGGACCCAGCAGCCCTCATGCCTTCCTCTTCAGTAGGAACATTTTTCCCAAGCAGATCCCTGGCATCCTCTGGGTCCAACTGTGTGGGGTGCAGGAGGCAGGACTCAGT